AAAGAAGGACTTTCAACGATTCCTCCATGATCGTCCTCTTTGCGATTTTACCTTTTTTCCGCGGATTCGGCGGGGTTTACATGTTGAGCCGAATCACAGGTAGTAGGGCGCTCCACGAAGTGAATCACAGGTTTGGCAAACGAAGGCTTTGTGCTCGTTGATACGAGGACTTTGGCAGGTTGAAGAACCGTTCAGAACGCTCTGAGGTGCGCTCCGACGCTTGACGCTTGATTGTTTTAAACATCGAGAACTCCGAGACTCTGACCATCCTGGAAGTGAAGGCTGGGGGCAGATTTGGTCAACAGTCATGGAGTGAGCACACTTGTTTTTTTTCCGCTCAATCTGAGATCTCTTCCATCCATTCATCCAACCATCATCCAGGTCCTCACGCCGAGGTATTCTTCACCGCAGGAGGCCTCGGAAGAAGACACACCATGCACGTGCACGCGACACGTGTGACGAATGTGAGGTTTATACAAGCTTCTTCAAGAGGCTCAGGATGTCTCAAGGTGTCTTCAGAAGGAACTGGCCAAAAGAAATACAAAAAAACACATCCCTTGTGCTGCTCCAGATCTGCTTGCAAACTCATCCTTCAGCGAAAAGGACACAGATGTTTGGCACCCACACAGTCCACCAAAAACTGCTGGGGCACTTACTGTACCAATGTCATGTCTTCATCTTCTTTTTCGCTTGCGAGCAGGCCGCCCATGTCCATGATGTGAGTGGTGACATAGCTCTCATGCCGACCGAACGAACCCAAACCACATCCGCAACACGAAATTGGTGACAACTGCGTCTGACTCTGGGGTCAGCGCCCTAGCGCTTCGCGCTTGTGCTGGTGACACTGCTCCACGTCCTGTTGGACCAAAACAGCTCACCGTAGCGACTTGCGAATCTGATCTGCCGGTTCACCTGCCCCATTTCCCACTGCACAGGCGGGTACCTGTACAGGAAGCGTTGTAACTAAGCGTAGCGAACCCCCAGCAAAGGTGAAGGTTCCCTCAGAAAAATGACCTAGTTACCAATTGAATAAATCTGCCTGAGCTTGTCTCAAAATCTATGCAGCAACCTCTCGCCGGTACATGTTGCATCACTAGAGAGCCATCTTCACCATCAATACATATACATTCTTTGGCCCAAACTGGAGGAAAAACAACATTTGCTGGGCAGTTTGACCTGGCAAATCCCAATATAGTTGCAATCCATGCATGACCTTGTCTATACCAGGATAGCGATGCAATATAACAGCTCAAGCAAACCCATCCATTGCATGCAAGTTCTGAGTTGAAAAAGGCCCGGTTGGATCTGAAGAAATAGCATGAATCTGTGGCAATCTTTGGCACATCGCCCGTCAAGGCTAGCATGTCATCTTCCAGTGCCAAGAACACATATATATATATATATTATACCTTTCAGAGAAAAGACTCAAGGCAGATTTTTGGACAACACCTGACTGATGCCAGCTGACTATCAAAGAACATCAAGTTCCATTGAGAAATACTGACGTTGAATGGTCGTTTGGTCCATCAGCAAACAGGTTGCTTGGCAGTCTGGGCTGTGAGAACGATCACTCGTTCTCCCCCAATGGGGTCAAGCACGAACACCCTACCCGATGGTGATGTTCACTCTATGGACCCTCACTCCGATGGTGTTCAGTGGACCTGAAAACACCGTATCCCGGATCCCCTCACACGTGGCAAACACCACCACATGGCCAGGGGTGCCATGGCACCGTCAGTGGCATGGTCGTGTTTCCGGAGAGACATCGATCAATCCCAAAGAACATGGACACCCGGGAGGTCGTCCGCTACATGGAAGGTCTGGAGCCCAGTGAAACTCTCAGGTCATAGGTCGTTCCATGTCGTTCCTCATGGGCCCGCACCTCCAGCTTCACACCTGCAGCCGCACCTGCGACCGACGAGGTCAGCACGACCCACGCGTAACACACGGCCACACCGCACTGGTTCGGGTGGTGCAAAAAAAATCAAAAAACACCTGTCTTACAACGGAGGGTGATGAATCCATCAATGGCCTGTAACGACGAAACACTTGGGCCAAAACAAACTCAAACTTCTGGAACAACCACTTGTGGACCGCCATGGGGCCCCATCCGGAACCTTGAGCTCCGGCCCCACCCCTGGGCGCCTGGGGGGCTTTCCCAGAGCGGTGTGGAGAAGAGGGGAGCCTCGGTCGGGAGTCACGGGCACCACACGGGCGGGTTGTGGGGTTGGAGGGAGTCAGTGGGCAACAATCCAGAATTATACCAGCATAGACCCCAAACAGTTTCAAAACGATAGAACCCCAACAGTAAACTGCTTGGGGCAAAAAAGACGTTGGATCTCTGTCTTTTGGAAGATATGCTTATTTCCATGTCCAGTTTGCACTTGCCTGGGTTATTGAACACGGCTCTGGGTTTTGTTCCAAACATGTTCCAAGTGTCAAAAGAATCCCAACGTTGCTCCCATTGCGAGCCACGTAGACATAGTTAGAAAAGTCTGAGCATCGCCACCATGAAGACCTGTAAGCAACTAGGGAAGATCTCCACCATGAATTTGATCTCATGCACCGGGCATTTTCTGCTTGCTGGCCGGCCGCAACTATATACGGTAATTGAACAAAAAGATAACGTTGAGTATCCACCAGGATGAGCCCACAAGGATGAGCCGTTTAATATAGCTGTTGGTTGGGTATGGTGATATCGTTGGGTCCTTGACATCAGAAATGCATTCCTCCTCGAGGAATCAGAACAGGTTTCTGTCTGTGACGCAGACCCGGCTTGGGCGGGATCTGCATCAAATCGGGTAGATCGACTGACCAGCTTCCGACAAATGCAAAGGTAGATGGACTTTTTGCAGGTGTGGCAAGACATCTCTCCAATTCACTCCCGCAATTCACGGTCAATCTCCCAAACGCTCAGTGTCTGCCATATTTGCCGATGTAGGTGTCAATGGGGGATGGTTGCAGGATGCTTCAGGTGTCAATGTAGGCATATAGCGCATATAGTATATATACTATATACCATACATGGAGTGTCAGGAGGGTAGGTATCTCTTCCCAACATCCTCGGCTCCGTGGCAGCCCGGGAAGGCTGGAGCCAATCCCACATGAAACAGCTTCGAATTGAATCTCAGGATCCCAAGAGATCTCTCTCTCTCTCTCTCTCTCTGCATATGATGATCTTTCACCCAGAAAACACCTGCAAATAGAAAAACACAACACATCCCCCTCCCGCCGGCGTCATCCACGAACCAGGCGGCCGGTGGAGCTGCGACTGCGAGCGCCTCCTCGCGGCGCCTATCGGACGACGATTCGTCCGGACGTGTGGTCGGTCCTTTGTTGACGCCAGTCCCGGCCATCAAACATCAACTTGGTGAAACTATCATCAACTTGCCTTTGAAAAGCTGCATGCACACCCACACCACCTCCATCTACCTCCGCAAGCATAGCACACCACGTCCCTTCTTCCCGAACATGGCGCAAGAATGGCGCACCGGAACCGGCACGAATGGCGCAGTGAAACGGATGGAGACACCGTGCGGGTTCCCCCCCGGGTGAGACACCGTGCGGTGCGGTGACACACCTCTTAGGGCCGTGAGAATGGCTTACGTGAATCCACCAGCCCAGGTGGGCCCATGGTGCCTACAAGATCCTAGTAGATAAGTACAGTATCAGATCTACTTACCTAAAACATCCTAAAACAATGTTCACAATTCAAGCTGAGTTGGAGAGTCCTTTAAACAAGAAGTATCCTCTGGGTGTTCAGTCTTGTATGTTGTAGTTATTGTGTTGGTCCTGGTGGTGGTAGTGGTGGCAGTAGTGGTAGCAGTTGCAGTAGCAGTTGGAGGAGTAGTTGTTGTCGTTGTTGGGGAAGTTTGCAACCATGCCAATTTGTTCTGGCTTTGTAAGATTGGACGACTTGAAAAGATGTATCTGTCTGATGTCTGAACAAAACGGAACCCTTTGCACAAACATGCACCACCACATCTTTGGTGGGGAGCAACATGTGCACATGCGATGGCGGCGCGCGTGATGGGTGGAGTTCACTGGCTGCAAGCTGCATTGATCGATGTCCCTAGGACACCCAAACACAAAGGTATGAGTCGGTACAAATAGTCTGACAAGCCAGGGCTACTAAGTTACTCCAGTCAAGATCTTGTGCTATGACTTAGTATACATAATATTTGGTAGCTTGGTGACACGCTATGGATGGCATCAATCCTGGCTGTCATTTGTTTAGCAATAGATCTTCAGTGACGCGGGCTGAGGCTGGCGACTCAGGTGCTTCCATCGGCTCACACTCTCACCACGCTGCACATTTACCCGTCGCCAGTGGGCCATCCGGCCGGACACCGCGTGACAGCCACGCGGCGGTGCTGACGCAGCGAGGCTCAATGCCCAGAAAAAGAACAATACAAAAACAAGATGCCAGGACCGGTGGGCTGGCGTGCACTTCCCGTCCGCCTATCGACGTGTCGCGGTCCAAGGTCTTCCGCTATAGCCGCTAAAGAACCCAAACGCCCAACGGCAAAAGAGTGGAACAAACATGCCCTGTAGGTCAGTTCGACCTCATTTTATTTAAGGTGGAATCGTACAATATCATTGGAAAAAGAACGACATAAGCATCTGGTAAAGGATCAGGATTTTCATCGATTTTCTGGGTCTTTGGACCTGAAGGGATGGATTTCCTGGTTTTTCCTCAACTTTCCTTAAATCCAAATGCACTGTCTTTGAGGTAGAGATGTGTAACCTCCGCCTCCAAGTCCTTGAGAAGTCAACATTCACATCCAGAAACCTCACACACTATCGAAACACCATTGTTCGGACCTGGATCAGGGTAATAGGCCTTGAAAAAATCGGTGTGACCTTTCGCCACTCTCCAGTTTTGAGGTGGACAAACTCTCTTTGGAGGGTTTGGAAGGACCGAAGAGACGGAAGGTGACGTTGTTCGTCAGATGGCAAGAACGCAAATGAACATCATCGTCGTGCTACGTCCCAATAACGTCAACATGCAATCATGATTTCACGCATGGAGCCCACCCAAGCCCTCACAAAAAAACATGGGGCCCGTGACATGCCCGGGCAGCAGGGGCTCTTCATTTCACCATTCGAGGCCCACGACCTCCCGCGGTGGTGGGTTGGCGCAAGCGCGGCAACAGCGACCAGGTCGAGCGGGTCCAAAGGTACCCCAGAATGGCCTACACTGTTCCTTCACCATCCTATATTACAAAACATGGTTCCAAACTGTGTTGCCATGGATTCCAATATACCAACAAAAGGAGGATTCACTGTTTTATGCTTATGCTGGGGTGAATGGGTCAACCCGATCTTGACGTCAAGATCAGTGTCCTCATGCTTTGGTTTGAGGCACTTTGAACCAAATGACATCCTCTCCAAACGTCCTACTTCGCGTCAAGTATGGAAAACCCCCCCGTGGGTGGCAGATCGGTCGTGTCAGTTTCGGAAATCCTATCGGCACGACGTGTCAGCACGAAGAAACCGGTCTCAGCCCCCAGAGAAATCGGATTCTGAACCCACCAGTTCTTCACCATGCAGAAGTGAATTCCTTGAAATCTTTGGGCGCTCACGAGCGAGGGGATTCTGGCAAGACATGTTCCCCAGTCCTCGAAGATTCCAGCAAAATTTCAAGTACCAAAACACATGCACAGGAAGTCCAAAAGGGGTGCTACAGTATTTTGTCCCTAAGTAAATGGATAGTCAACCCTAGGGAATTGCCCCGGTTCTTTTGATTTTAAACGCGAAGTGATCCACCGTTCACCGTTCCTGCAGTTTCTTCTTCTTTTCCTTTGAAGAAACCACCGGCGAAGAGGTAAAGGCCGGGAAGAGGTAGGAATTCGAGGCGGTTGGGAGCAAGTTGGCCACAGGGAACCATTGGGAAGATGGTTGTTGGCTCTAAATGCAAAAACACAGCAGCACTCGAACATATTTCTGCATCTCCAGGAATCCAACAAATAGATACACATCTGCAACTGCAAGTGCAGGAGCTTCATCTCGCCAGAAGGTCTCTGAACAGACGGATGCCCATCCAACCTGATCTCTGAACTGATATGAACCGGCTCTGTCAAATAGTTGCCAAGGACATGCCAGATAATGTTTCCAGTCGGTTGAACACAAATATGTCTTACACCGAGTGCGTGACTTCAGCGTTCTGCGCGCACTGTGCGAACTAGCTAGTGTTGGCAATCTGTTTTTTTGGCATGCCTTGCCACATGTGACAGATCGCGTGGTACCATGCTTCTCACTCATCCTTCCTCTGTGCATGTGGCCTTGGGATCACAACACACCGGTGCAAGAATGGACCATCCCATGTCCAACAAAACGGCTGGAGCTCTCCTGCCACACAAGCGCCTCTGCCCGAACAAGGCACCCGGTGGAAAACCCTCACGCCCTCTCACCTGTCTCGTCTCAGCTGTCTCTGATGGCGCCTCGCTGGCCTTTGGAGGGCGCCACCGCTGACATATGTCAATAGACGCCTGGAGAGGTCCAAGGCTGCCGCATGTTGCGGGCGGCTCCAAGGCAATCTCTGAGGAGAACTGGTTTGCCAAAAGTCTGCCGGTACTGGTTCCTGAGAGGTTGTTGCTGACGTGTGTATCTCCGCTGGCCTCTTGAGCTTGAACACCGGAGAGGCATGTGAGGGTGCAGGTCGGGGCTGCAGGAGCCAAGCAAGCATCCACTAGCCACCACAATGAAGCAACTGCAGTCTGCCAGCCTCCTCCACACCTGAAGCACATTGCGCAAACTCCATGTCAGCGTTAGGCAAAAATCAACGTTTTCCCAGCGACTGGCTTGGTCACAAGATCAATGCTGTGAAAAATGGAACAACTCCGAACGCATTGTCACATGACCCCCCCCTCTAAAAACAAAGACCGAACCTGTGACAGCTTCGCAAGCAGCCTCTACCTCATTGCTGGGTGGCCCAAACGATCCTTGAAGTAGTCACCAAGTGATGGGAAGGAAACAATAGAATCGCTGGCTGGGGAACGTGGTGACAGGAATTGACAAAGGACCTTGGAAAACCTCAGACTGAATGTGATCTTAGCTCTCGGCAAAAGCGATGAGCAACGGACCCTAGACATTGAACCTTGAACCAAAAAAGAGACATCAATGAACCAGGGAACATTGATTGATGGTGTTCCTTGAACCTTGTTCCTTGGTTTCAATGTGCGAAGCTGTACTCAGGGAGCATGTTGAAACCATCCCACTCGTCGGAATGAGCCAACCTGGTGCAAGGCCGTGCTACATCACTTAAGGGTAGGAGATCTCCGTTTTTTGCCACATGAAAACCTTAGCATATACCTGGTTCTTCAAAGTGACCTTTTGACATCCTGGTTTGAGGTCACTTAAGCCTCCTAAGGGTCACTTAGGAACCTTCAAAAGGTCACTTTGAAGAAGCTGGTATACTGTAATTCCTCTCTCCTCACGACACTTCGACTCGTGTCCACACGCTGGGCCTTCAGCGGAGCGTCGTGGCCGGCAGAATCAAATCCATGTCCTGCTGATTCGCCGCTGACGAACGCCCCGAACGAAGGACCAGCGCGAATCGACTGGAACGAAGAAAAAACAAGCCTTGGATGCAGTGAGACTGATTCTTGGCTGGAAGCCCATTCTTGTCTCCGAACGGAAGGGCTGAGGGGACTCAACTGGACACGTCACCGGCATCCTCCGGCATCTCGTCCAGCTGGTCACTGCCATAAATCCGCCGCCTTGGGACGGTGACAGGCAGTCAGCTTCGCCGCCCAGGGCGGTGACGTGGGTCCAGAGTTGTGAGTTGGAGTCTTTAAGGAAGGTGTTTTTACGAACGAAATCATCGAAATCCCTGTGGCAAAAGGGAACAAGAACGAGTCTAGACCGTAGATAAATAAGCTTTGCCCCCATCACAATACTGCCGAATACTGCTTGGCTGTGTACGCTGCTTCGCAAAACCATTGGTTTTTTTTGTGATGGAGGTGCATGGGCTTCGACTTACAACATACGGCAAAAAAGAAAGTGTGGTTGTGCATAACCCGTCTGAAACGACACAAATGCCTCATGTCCGTTGAAGTTGCTCCTTTATCTACTCTCCTTACGTGAATGAATGCAAGTCGCGCGAACTCATCCTGTTCTTGCGGAACTGAGGTCGACGTCTAACACCTCAAAAGTGTTCGCGGCAACCAACGAGATGTCATTTCTTCAGCCTTTTGACCCACATAAAGCCCAAACCGAAACCCATCACTGAGTTGCTGGTGGAAAAGTTCCCTCTCGCAGGTTTTTTCTCGGGATGTCGTTGTCAAATGCATGCAGGCAATTTTGGGCGGCACTGAGCGCTCATCTTATGAAGACTGACCACAGATTGAGACAGTGACTTTGGTTCAAGGTTGTCACACAAACAACAAAAGGTTTAGAAGGGTCAACAAAAACACAATTATTCAGAATTGTCCATGAAGTTTGAAGTCAAACTTGTAAAAACAAGCAATTCTCCGGCCAAGGAACCATTAATATGGATCCATGAATAAACCCTCCTCCCAAGAGTCTGCGATTTGAGTCTTCATCTTCCACCCAGCCTTTACATATTGATGACAACATCTTTCTGTTGATCGGCAAACACTCCAGACTAAACGCCTGGTCATCAGGTATTTGGCAACATTTGGCACAGAGTGCAATCTCCAGGAACTGAAAGGCTGAGCAATGTGAAAGCATCACATCTTCAACAGCAACGCTACTCGATGGAGTTCTAGAGACATCCGTCTTTGGTGCACAGATCTGTCCGCGCTGGGGAAGAAGTGGACAGAACACCCACCCTGCCACGTACTCGGGGAAGTGGAATTCCTGGTCGCTGGAAAGACCATGAAATCCACCGGAGTATCGGTTCGACTGAGGGCCTAACAGCTCGTAGAGATTCCGGTTCCTGGGCGTCATTTCGAAGATGGATCAAGTGATTTTAGGTGAAAAGGAGGAGTTACAGCAGGTCATTATGCAGTCTCACCTAAAAGGATCGAGTTATACGGTAAGTACTTTGTGTGAGAGCTTTATGGAGTCTCATATCCATCAATAGAAATCGAAACCAATTCGGCGGCGGAACTGCGGAACCCACCGGTGACATCGCAGCGAACCATCCGACTCAGTGAAGAAATCTTCAAACGGCGTCTCGCCACTGGAAGCAGAACGAACAGGCACTGAATGCCAAACAGGCACTGAATGCAACATGTTCCCCCAGTCATTGTCTTGAAATCAGTTTGGCGGCATAGTGGGGCGTCTGAGAAATTCCGCGAGCGAGCTCAAGAGCTGTTCCACAGCAAAAGAATACATGCAGTTGTGAAAAAAAAAAACAACTTTACCTTTCCCTATACCACTCTTGACGTTATAGTTCCAAGCCCTCCCACCTCTGTCCAAGCACATACCCACCAAGAGCAGTCATCCATTGACCCTGACAATTTGGAACAGTGGTAGGTTTTCTGTTTGTGTGTGCACACGCGTTTTCTTCACACCACTTCTCGCATGTCAAGGTTTTTCCACAAGTGTCATCGGGGGTTATCGTTGTTTTTTCTTCCTTATCGTTCTACAGGGAATTGGGCATGCTTCCAGAAAAACGGACATGCAAATATTAATTTCTTGTATGTATGTGTTTTTTCTTTGTTTGATACTCTCTCACATGGTCTTCTAACCCTGTGAACCAAACTCATCGATCCTCTCATTGGTCTAGTATACAATGCTTTGATCCATGCATCCCAGGCGCTTGATCAAATTGGTCAGGCATGGATGCAACTGGGGTTCCAACCTCCGCTGGAGCACCAACGCAAAACAAATCAACATGAAAGCCTTCTTGTGGTCGTTGGGGAGAAGCTCCTAGCCCCTAAATGGCTAGACATTGGACGAATGTGGTTGTTCTATGAAGGAACTTTGCAGCATTGGAACAGTATCTTCAGCAAATTTAGACTGAAGAGTCTGGGTGAAACTCTGCCGTTTCGAAGAACTTCTGAGGAAACTTGGGGAAACATTGGTAATTTCAAGGGACTCAAAATGATTCGGGTGCCCCTCATCAAGAACTAAGACCCAGGTGTGTCAACCCAAGTGGGTTGAAACGCCGCAGCTGCCTGAATGATACAGTAATCTTACGCATGAGTTGAGGCAGTGGACGAAGCTTTCGCAGGACTTCAACAATTTACAGTCATCTAATCACATATGTATATATATATATAATAAATATATATATATATATAACATCTCATCTTTCTCACCTACCCACAACCTACGCAGCTACGCACCGTACGTCTGATCCATTAGACCCCTAAGATGTGTGTTTCTTCCTTGGTCCCCCCCAAAGTACCATTGCAGAACCAGTGGCTGACTGAAGGGTTCCTGAGCGTCCAGAAATTGAGCAAGCTTGGAGATACTTGGAGAAGGCTGTGGTCAGGCTGGGTCAGCAAAACGTTGGCTGCTCATATGCGTCCGCTTTCCCCTTTCAGGTGACCATGCGGGGTCTTGTTCATGTCGACATGTCGGGCTTATCATCGGTGAGCGAGTTGATGAACGGTGCTTGCGGACCGCAGCTGGCAAAACGTGTGCGGGCCAGTCCGCACACCACATCAACTCTAGATGTTTTTAGCTCAAGGGCTGCAGATGCAGAGAGCCATTTGTGGAGCCCTGAGGGTCCCTAGGGTAAAGCTTCTGACTCACACATGCACAAATGAAGATGGAAGTGTCAATTTCAAGTGGTCTGACTCTGGCCAGTGCGGTACATATAACTATAACTATATGACCACATATGTACTGTATAATACACATATATATATATATTCTTAGTGCCTTTGCAAAGGAGGTACATCCACACACACACACACATAGGGCCATTTCATTGATAACAGCATAATAATCATTAGTTCCCAGCTCCATCAATTTGACCGCGCTAGGGCCACTAGTACCCGAATCGGCAAGCCAAGTGACCGAATCAACGAAGGTATAATCACGCTCTCAGGGTCATTTACGTTTTCAGCGGGTGTGTCTGGATTGAAACAATTGCCCATCCAAGACCCCCAACTAAACTCCCTGCCTGCTGGTATCTCCAGATTGACAAACTGAAAGGAAACTTGAACCAAAACTTGAAACCTCACTAACACCTGCTCTTGGATTTGTATATGGAACCTAGGCACAAGTACTGATAGATCATAGATTCCCAAGTAGATCTGCTTTCACCTGGGAAATCCTGTCTCCACACCAAGCCGCCCAAAGCGGTCGCAAAACAAAGTCGATGAAGTCACGCTGCAGCTTGCCGCGCTGCTTCATGTCCTGCACATGACGGCCACAGAACACATGACGGCCACGTCCGATCCCTCCGGTGTGTCCGATCGTCTGCTGCATGGATGCATTTGCCCATCATATGTACATCAGGAGTAAAAATGCTTGCAGGAGGTATAAACGTATATAAGCGTAAAAGTGTGTGTGTGTGTATATTATATAAAGTGACAATATTAGGAGAATGACGTGCACGTGTCCACTGACCCAAAGGATGTGATCCATTTCCCAGGGTGTTTATCCTTCAGTTCTGAAAAAAAAAGAAAACACCCCAGAATCTGGGCCCACGTTGGCTGTGCTTATCATGGATGAAGAGCTGGCAACTGGCAACCCCACCAAATGCTGGCAACACATGTTTTTCACGTCGCTGGAACACATGAACTGCGGCCTCCATCTTGAACTGCATGAAAGGCTCTGGAGTCAGCCCTTGCTCAGTCTCCTGAGCCATGGAGTTCCATGGCGTGAAACGCCATAACCGAGGTGGAGATCTCTGGGAACTTGCCAAGGAGTGGGTATGGATGGGTATTTCATCGCGACCATGGCCCGATGGTGTAAGGTTCTTGCTGAGCATGTCTCCAACGCCTGAAGGTCTACGAGATAACGCCTATAACTATAGACATGTTACTGTTGTTGCAGCTTTTAGCCAACAACCATTTACAGGTTGTGGCTGCCCACCACCCCCCCAAAAAAAAAGGACAAAAGCAATAACACCACACATAACTCCACCAGGATTTGCCTCAGGTCTTTCCAGGTGCCTCAAGGGGTTGACCCCGACGTCAGAGCCGAGCCCTGCGAGCGCCCTGCGCTGAGCCAACACCGGTGGAACGGTCGAACCGCTCCGACACAGGAACCGCGCCTTGGCGGCTTGCGCCGTGAACCTGAGCGCCGAATGTGTTTTTTTTAACGAGCGGGTCCTGGTGGGAGGAGATCGAGGTCGGCTGGAGGACATGGCGAAGCTGGGGGCTTGCCCAAAAGCCGGGCGAAGAAACGGCTTTATAAGTTATGGCTTTATACTATTTTATACTCAGGACTTGTCATAGGCAGGTACAAGCTGTAGGAATAATTGCAATAAGTCGGCTCACTTGAGGCATGCAAAGGCATGAACCACATCAAGTTTGGAGGGCATCCGAAAATACATTGAACCCCCTCTGAATTTCAACTGAATAAAAAAATGAACGAACATTGGCGCATCCAGTGCACGTGGGAATCCTCTTTCTTTCTTTCTTTCTTTCAAATGGACGCTTCGATTGGACGGACCGGCAGTGGGAATCCTCACCAAAAAGAAGGAGCCCTCAACGTGGATCGCGACGTTTCAGGCCAAACAACTCTTGGCAAATGCGATCCTCCCACTTGCGCGCCGTCTCCCATTGCAGTACCTGTGCTGAGAGGTCCTCGGTGCACACCACAAAAGATCGTGTGGACATTTTTTCGCACGGCGCCACACCATCAGAGTGGCTCCCCAACTGACCATACAGGGTCGAGACAGAGGAGGACATGATCCACCAAAACCGACCCTTGGACCGACCGGTTCCAGTCCGGAGTCCGGTGGAGCACGTTCGGATTGAAGGACCCATCTATACGTCATGTGCAGTAGATGGCACTGTTGGGCTCCCAAGTCTGCTGGTTGATCTGGAACCCCAGCTAAAGGACATCTTGGGGGCCCCATGCCATCTACTCTGAAACCACTGGATGTGGAACCCAGAAATACCAGTCCAAAGCAATGTCTACACTCTACACCGGCACAAAAAGAACACGACCGTCTGAATGGCACGGATGTGAGTCGGTGGGTCATGATGGCCCAGTCAGACCGAAACTCTATATACATGTTGGGTAAATAAATCCCCTTACCAGAGTAACAGTGGATAAATATCCCATCACCTCATGAGTGGGTGTAAATGATTTCATTTGCGTCTTTGAAAAAGCATGCTTTTGATAACAGCGGATGACAAAACTTGTTCAAACATCTTAGAATGAATATCAACATATCACCAATGACCTTTTTGGAGAGCCAATGACCCTTGAGAGGTTTTTTTGTGACCTCAACCTGGGACCTCAAAGGGTCACTTTGAAGAACTATGTGTATATTTATGTGTATATTATATTAACCTAGATCTTCCAACTATGCAACATGTCGGCCTTCTGGCTGGTTTTATAGATGAAAAGGGCGACATGTTTAACAGTTGCAAGATCATGCAAGATCCAGATATATGTGTTTGTTTTTGCTAATGGGTTCTGTAACGGTGCCGTTTATTTCTTGCGCTCTTTGTCGTGTGTGTTGCGTCTGTATACGCATTTATGTGATGTCCAATAACGTTCGATTGAACGCATGTGTGTCGAGAACATGAGGTGGGCAACTGCAAATGGCTTGTAAAGATGGCCAGAAAGAGCAGCATGCACGTTATCTACATGCCTTCCAATGGCGTCGCAACTATGGAGGATCGCTGTGGAAGGACACGGGAGTGTTGTCGAAGAAGAGATGAACAATAAGTGTGTTTGAAACCCAAACATGAAAACAACCAGACCTGCAAACACCCTGTAAGTAAATCGGCTGAAAACAGTCCCGAATTGGTAGAATACAACAACTACAAGTAGCATCAAGAGACAAAACACAAACACACTGAGAAAAGCCCAATGACTCCTTTGAAGACTGATGCACAACAACACAAAATACTGCGGGACCGTTACGGAGCCCGTTACCTTGCTCTTGTTCTTGTTGTTGTTCTTCTTCTTCTTTTTCTTCTTGTTGTTGTTGGTTGTTTGTTGTTGGTTGGTTGCTTGTTGTTTGTTGTTTGTTGTTTGTTGTTGGTGGTTGTGGTTGTGGTTGTTGTTTCATTGTGTTCTGTGCAAGCATCCTTCCCTGCACTCGGCCAACATCATTCATTCTAGAACATGACTTCTGTTCTTTTCCCGGGCAGGATAAGTACAGTATAGAAGTCATCTGGGCCAAGAAAAGGCATCGCGAATCGCGTGGTAAACAAAGAATGCTTTGTTGTTCGTGATCAAACAGGAGAATGAAGCAGACCTCTAGTTCGATTCTTTGGCTTCACCTCTGTTTCAAAAGAAGGACACGCTCGATGCTACTGGGTTTCCCAGCTTACAAATTCATGGGGAGTGCTCCTACTGAAATGAACTCTCGCATCCCAACACATCACACAGCCATGAATCACGCAGATCTCGCCAGTCCTTTCACGCTGGTCTCTGCACCAAGTCTCGGCTGCATGCACGCAGATGTTCATCAAGAACTGCCTATCTGCCGAGACGGTGGACTGGAAGTCCTCTGCGCTGTTGCAGCCTCGCGACACGACGCCGCAAAGCCCCAAGGGTATCGGTGAATCCCATCAAAGAGCCACTGACAAACCACATTCTGCATCTGGAAGCTTTTGATCTTCCACATGCATGTGCGTTCCGATCCAAAAAGGAAGGAACTCCACACACCAGCAGTATGTGGAATCAAATGGACCATCAAAGTCATCTTCCAAATGTTGCCGCAAGCAAGTCCACCACATAAAGTGTCAGTCAATGGTGTCAACTGCCATGTTTCTCCTCTTTCGCACGATAATGACTCATGACTAAATACAACGGCAAACGACTGAAATACACCGCGTGTCTCTTTGGTGTATTGCCATACTGCTCTTTTCTCTTGACCCTTCACCAACGATCTGATCCACTCACTCCAAAGTCGCCCAGCACCGAGCTCCGAACCGATCAGCTTTTGACAAAGGCCCTGGTGATGCGCCATGTCCTCGGAGCAGCGGAAGCGCTTGGAAGCCGTGGCTTGGCCGTGGTGAACGCGAAGAGTGCTTCGTCATGTTGGTCTGAATGAGTGAGTGAGGATACCAGTGAGGATCTATGTAATTTTAGATCTAAGATGATCTATGTGTCCGTTAATACATGTTAATATGCATCATGTATCGTCATAAACATCATATATATATATATATACATGCTAAGCTTGGGCTTTGGTGGTGGAGGGAAAAGGAAGGAACATGTCAAGGCTTTCTGCAGAAAGTGAACTTGTTGCAGGGATGTTGGTGAGTTAGAACATTCTTTGGGCTTCTCTTGCTGCTGACATGATCTACTTGCAAGACGCTACACTTTCCTCACCAAGAATGTTCTTAATTACTGTACCTGTCTTCAAGAACCTCACAAACCTGACACACCGGGCCATCTAAGCCCCGGCCGACTCCTTGCAGCACCTTTGCCGGTGAAGAACAAAATAACACGGAGCGCTCGTTTGGATATTTCTCACATCGGGCGATGAATCAAACACATTAAGTTGACATGAACAAACTGCCAAAAGAAGTTCAGCCGGTCCTTGCTTGGTGGGCTCATAGATGCTCGTAGCATGTTCAATTGTACTTTGGAGGGTCCAAGTGGTTGATGTCGAGCAGGATGTGACTCCGCAATAGGGTCCCATCAGCGCCCAAGTCACTGTTGCCAGAATGCACTTGATGATGGTCTTCCGGAAGACTCCCTGACCGTTTCAAAACGCCATGATCTCTAGAAGGTGTCTCTTTTCCGGCATAGAACGATCCGGGCAAAAGAACCGCATTAAGATATATTCAGGATGTTTGGAATAGTTGTAATGAGTGTTGGAAATCGTTTCATTTCGTTGATTAAATTGTTGACACAGTAACTAATTGAAACTCTTACCCAATCTAACAAACGAACAAAGCAACTCTTCCTTCCACCATCAGAACGCTGCCGCAGCTGCTCAGGCTTGCTCGATGTCGTTAGGTAGGTATAAAAATGTATAAAATATCTTAATTTATATATATATATACATAATGTAATACCATATAACGGACATGAGATATCATGAGATCAAGTTGGGGGTGAATATTAAAAACCCAAAGCATGCATGAGAAACACCCAAAGATGGACTTTCAGGACGATGCGTCCTTCCCAATGGATGAACAATGAGCAATTCCTCTCACTTACGGATTCACACCAAGCAGCTTCCTCGCTTCCAACCACCAGCAGCTCCCACCATCAGCACATCTTCTTCACCACAAAAAACGGCCTTCCGCCGCCCCCACCACCCGTTTCTGGGACGGACGTCGGGGCCTGTTCCACTCGGTCGAGGCCGCTGCAAATGTTGGGCTCCCCGTCCCGCAAGATGGTGCAGGCCAATGACCTTGGGCAGCCGACGCAACAACAGGCCCGGTGACCAGCCGGTGACAAGCCGATGTCGGTGGGCGAGTGAGGTGTTGAAGATGACAGGTCGACTTGGAGCTAGATTTCAGGAAGCCTGAAAATGCCCCTGAAACACCCATGACACACCACCTCTTGCCATGTTAACTACTTTTGTCAAGCTCCATTGGGTTCATGGCCCCTTGGATTTGATGGTCGAAAGCTCCTTGGAGAACAAAAGTGCAAACCCGCTTACATTGAGAGCTGCCGCAGTGCAGTTAGTTAGTTTAAGAACGATCTTCCTGGCTCGTGTCTATTTAACATGTTGACCTCCTAAAAATAGAGCCTGTCTTGGAGGCCATGCTCCAACAGGGACCTGCACGACCTGACTCTTCAATTTGGGACTACAGAGCCTAAATGAGCCTAATAATATCTAATTAGTGTGATATTTATAAAGCTATAAATATACAATAATATACCTACAAGTTCGAATTGGGCAGAAATAACTGCCTGTTTGAGAAGAAGTGCCTTTTGGTGGACTTAGGCGTTCTTGCCCGCACATAGGCGTTTTTGGTTCAAACCTTCAAGCCAGAGTCTTGGCATTCACTTCACCTGTCAAGCGCCAAAGGTGCTCCCCCACCTTGCTGTGCTGAGGCTTTTACAGTCCATTGAATTGCCAGTGTGTGTGTGTGTGTGCAGTGTGCAGTGCACAGCATTTGCAAACATGTGCCATGAGATTTTTGCTTTCAAGCAGTGTAGAAAGTTGAAATGGGGAAAGCCACCTCCGATCCTGCTGTCAAAGAAGTATTTGCTGACACATGCTAGATCCTCAGATTTGAGTGCTTTCTCATTTTCTTGAGTTTCTTCTACGCATCTCTCTCTCTCTCTCTCACTCTCTCTCGTGGACAAACCATAAACCACAATGCGTTCTGTCCTTATTTCCATTTGTGGGTCCAGGCTTGGCCTCACTACCGGACAAGTTCTTTATGGAAGTTCAGTCCGTTCTGTGGCCTCGCAGTGAGCCCTTGGATCCTTGCTGGCAACAGTGTGCCCCACTCCCCGAGCAACTGTCTCTGCTTTTTCATGTGTGACTTGTGGGTGCTGGTGAGACGTGTAGCTCGAGGAGATTCTGACAAAGGAGCAGGCCGAGGACATAAAACACAATTTCGACCATAAGGGCCATGTTCACCAGCTGGTGACGTACTTGAACAAGTGGCAGGATGAATGCCACACCCTTACCTTTAAACAACTAGTGAGCCAACTCTGTGCATGCCCTCCTCGCTAGCCCTCGCATCTCCGAATCTCCCAGGTCAGCAGGAGCGTGAGGCACCAGCCCATGAAGCCAGTCCTGCACCAAAGAAGTGAACGCGTCGAATGTAGATGGCAAAACAACTCGGAACCTACATGAACCTGCGACATTCAGAACATGTTTCAAAAAGATCACTCACAGCAAACTACACGCATGCAACTGCATGCCTTTCTTATTTGGCCCTTCGCAGGTGCTTTCCTCTACAGTGCTTATGTCCCGCAAGACCAGGCGAACATTCATGCACCCCTTCGGCTTTGAAACTCCACACCTAGTAGTTTGGTGTGCAAAAACGTTTAAACAATCACTGAAGGCTTTCCTGACTAGGCCGTTGCCTGCATTGGACGTGATCGTGCCAGGTGCTGAGCTGCCTGTTTGTGGCTCCAGTGGTTGGTGACTGTGTAAACTCGTTAGTAGCTGCTGAGGCTTTCTTGGTGAGCTTCATACTTCTGTGCGCCAGTGCGGGAGTTCAATGCGTGCTTTAACCAGTTCTTGAGACTTTTGTTTGGTCACGCTGTGGTGTTGAATCTGAAGTGTTTTTGGCTTCAGGGGGTTGGTTTACAGCAGCAATGCCAGCTTTGAATGCTTCCGAGCCTGTTCCAAACCCTTTGGAAGGTTTGGCAGAAGCTTGGGAAAGAAACCATGACCTGCGGAAACAAATTCAAGATGAAAGAGCGCTTGTGTTTTGGCCGGAAACCAAACTCGTGGGCATCATCAGTATGCAGGCGCTGAAGGTGAATGTGGACCTTTTGAATAATGCGGCTTCACTTTGGGTACCCAAGCAGACCACACCGAAGACCCTGCCTGTTGGATGGTTGAAGGTTGAGGCGTGGGGTTGCGCGTGTCGATGGTTGCGCTTTCTTCAATGTGATGGTGTGACCTGCTCTGGTTGAATTTGGTCCCTTCAGGTAAGAAAGCTTCGCAGCAAGCTGCGGTTGAGCTGCAAACCAGCACAGATTCACTGCGATGCTCATGCAATCAAGTCCTTTTTCTCTTTACTCATCCGCCGTCACGATGGACATACTCGCAGGGTCTCTTGGACAAGTCAAGATTGAACAATTGTGTTTCCACATGCTTCCATCCGCTCGTATGAGCTTCACGCGTTGGCATATAAGGACCCAGATTTGAAGGTGTTGTTCGACGACGTACTTGGGTCACACTGGCCTCCAAAGATCTCAAAGAAGAAGAGCTCTGAGTCTTGCACTAGCAGTGCGCCTGACAAGTCTGAACAGCTCGCTCAGGACTCTCCTCAGGACTCTCAGGTGGAGGATGATGGTTCCAACGAAGCTCTTGTGGAAGCTGACGGGTATAGCAGCGGGGAAACCACACCACCTCCGTCACACGCGGGCGAAGAGCGCGAACTCTTGGCCTGGACTCTGGGGGGTGACCTCAAAAGCGCGTCAAGCCCTTTGGCCAAATGCTTGTCTCCAGGTTTTGGAGGTAAACGTTTGGCTGATGCGCCACCTCCTGACTCTGATGAATGGATTGCCATGCGCCTTGCGGAGCTGGAGCTCCCCGGCAGAATCCACAGTCTGTAGGACTGAGGTTTTGACATTTGAGCAGGAACTGGAGATGCGCGCATGCATTCTTGTCTGTCTGAGGTTGCAGATGGTGGAGCGTCAGGTGGCAGTGGCTAAGAAGACTGTGCCAGCTTCTTGGGGTGGCCCCGCCCTGTTTGTTTTGTGTGGTTTTGGAGTGTAGGTGAAAGGCTGAGGGGGCATTTGTGCAGTGTGCAGGGGGACAGCATGTCTTCGAGAACATAGAGACTTTGCCTTGGGATGGCGCTGGTTTGGCGGAGACTCTCAAAGGCCAGTGCCCATTTCTGTAAAAGCCGAATGTTCAACGATGCTCCACTTCCAGTTCTCCTCTATGGAGCTGAGGTGAACCTGAAGCTTCAGGCGAGGACAAGCTCCTCACTGCAAAGACGCTTGTGCTCGGCGAGGTAGAGGAGGCACCAGCAGATGGCAGCGCTGAAACTCGACAGGTTGCAAAAGCACCCAGCGTTGAATGTCAGTCAGACCCGAAGGCTGTCCAGGAAGCGTCTCCAGATCCGCAGGTGGTGGAGATCCCCGCCATTTCATCGACAGGAGATGAGACTGGACGCCACCAAGTCTCTTCGAGTCTGGCCAAGGTTGAGCCAGAAGCGCCGCCTCGTTCCTGCGCTGGTGACAAGCGCATTGCTTCCGCTCAAGAACTCTTGCTTGACGAGGTACGCCCCTGTCTTTTGTTGATGCACGTTCTTTGTGAAGAATTTTCTGTCTAGTCTATTGTCTTCATTGATCCTGGCCAGGTAGACATGGACCGGGCCATGCAAGATGAAATGCGTACCAAGATGTCTGGGGGAAGAAAACCAAAGCAAGGACAGGATGGAGAGGATGAGTCTGATGATGACATGCCTCCCTTGAAGCGCCCGGCTGGAAAGTCTGCTGGAAAGCCCAGAGCCCCACGAGGGGAAGCAAAGGCCAAGGCCAAAGGAAAGCCGAAGCGAGTCGAAGACAAGAAGAATGGGGCTCGCGAGACTGATGCTGATGTGGAGAAGGAGGAGGGTGGGAAAATGACACCTAAGGCCGCTTGCAAGCGGAAGGCCAAGAGAGGCCATGAAGACAAGGCGGATGAAGAGCGGGCGCAGCTGCAGTACTTGTTAGAGAAGTACGGGGGCGAGATGGGCAAAGGCAAGACCAAGAGACAGGCGAAGGACTCAAGCGCAACGGCTGAGAAGCCACCGTGCAAGAAGAACAAGAAGGAACATGAGAAGGCAGACGAGAAACCGAATCCCACAGCATCCTTTGCCCGGCGGTACCAGCCCAAGAACCCAGTCAAAGCCCAGTGGTGGCTCGCTCTCTGTTCAGCCTTTGCCTCACACGTCAAGAGCGTGTTGAGCCCTGCCAGCCACCTGGAGGACCAAAGTTTGTCATGTTTGTTTGTCATGTTTTGTCATGTTTGTCATGTCTCCGGTTGCGTTTGTCATGTTTGGTGCGTTTGTCATGTTTGGTGGGCCTTGGTCGCTTGTCACTTGTCCAGGACCCCTTCTGGAAGTTCTGTAGCCCACGGTTCAATGTGATCGAGGAGAAGGCTGGCCCAGACGCTTTCTTGGCTTTGGCGGAGGAGTGGGCCACGGAGTTTGTGACAATTCAGCAGCGTGTCTTCTGACTGCACTCTACATTAGTTGACTTATTTGTTCTCAACCTCCACTCAAATTTCAAGTCACACTGATCACAATCAACCTGTTTTGGAACATCATGCCCTGCACTGGATCGGTCCTCAGGTCTGATCGAGTGGATGACCGTGCCAAGCGCTGCCTGCAGGCGGTGATTTGTGACTGGGGCGCATGGCATGCCAATTTGCCATGCGCGAGACTAGTTTGGATCCTGTGTGCCTTTCACACGGGTGGGTGGCACATAATGTGGGATTCCACCAACAGGGGTTTGAGCTGCAAAAAAGAATGCGGGCTACGAAGCAGCCACAAGACTTGAGCTGCCAGCACTGATCATGGTCTTTGTGCTCACCACTACTGCATCTGTTCCAGGTACACCTTGGCTGGAAATGCCTCAAGGACTTCATTGCTTCGTTGCCCGTGGACATGTAGGAGGCGAGCCTGGTCGATGGGTTGGCTTTGGACTTGGAAGGTTCATGAAACTTGAAACTGTGGCAGCTGTGTGGGTTGCAATCACCCAACGTGGTTAAGTAATACAGCCGTA